AAAGTAAGAAATACGTAGAAAAAGTTGCGCGAGTTGTTTTTCGCTTACCTCAGGTGCGGGTGGACTTTTTTCAGGGCGCACACGCCCTCAATATCGCACTCTACTTTCCAGCGATCGCACAAAATATAGCCTGTTTTGACTGCGTAACTGCTTGCGAATAGTATATCCAGGAATAAAGAAAAAAAATAGCATATCCAGTGACCCGGGGACTCGGAAGAGCTGTAGCTATGACCGTAAGTTCGATTCATCTTTTTTTTTTATTTATTTTTCAGAACTTGTTCATAATATCTTACGTTTTCTCCGGATCTATATTTGTCTAATAATTATGTTGAGAAGAGGCTACTGCGTTTTCTGCGAGGCGTCAAAGACTCTTAAATTAATTGTTCGTACTTGTTGAGTGTTTTAAAGAGCAAAAAACATGTAGGTTATACAACTAAAAAGAATGGATGTTTCGGAAAATAGAGGCTATTATTATTACTATACTTCTCCTTAGAACTTTACTTCAATTTATAACTTCGCAATAACTCGACGCTACGTCGTTATGAACAGTGAACTAAAAGACCGCCGAGTTTATGTAGATTACGTGTATTTTCCTGTGGCAGCGAGTGTACGCAGGAACCACGTATTGTTCATCTGCCATGTACGTATAGGCATTTTTATTCGAAATTTGCGAATCGCTGCACACGTCGTCGGCTTCAATTCGAAATATTGCATATACACCGAGAACAAGTCAGTGGCAATCTGGCGGCAATCTCCGTCATGAAACAAAATCTTGACTCCTCTTTGTCGTCACAAATTGCGCATCTGTTTTTTTTTTTTATGCAATTTAAAATGAAAAAGGATGGGATAGTTTTATATGTTATGGTACCCGCCAGGCTACATCGCCTCTTTTTCACAGAATATAGATTAAAAATATTTTTGATATGAGGAGATTATCTTGGGTTATGGTAAACATTTACGCCCTACAATAAATATAAAAAGATACACTTAGATGAATGTGCGTTTAAAATGCACTGTTATTTTAGATTGAACGAAATCTCACTAGGCGAGGTGTGACTTGAAGTTTGCTATTAGGTCAAACTTTCATTATCATTAAGTTGTGTGTTTTTTTTTTGTTTTTTGTTTTTTTTCTACAGCATGAATTAACTGAGAGAATTTTTGCGATTGCGTTGAAATCAATAAGTTTCTGTTTGAACATTTGTCCGATGTTTCTTCTAACTTCTATACTCGTGTTCACATAAATAAAAAAAAGGACGTTTCGCGCGTTATTCATGCGCTGAGCGAAGCATAGCTTCTTACAAGATTTGGTTATATCGAAGGAAGATACGATGCTTTTGGCGTTTGAAACGTGTACGTCTTGATGAAACAACATAAAGCTAATGTAAGATGCGCCTACATATAAACATTCGACAGAGACACTTAGGACTGCTTACGTGTAGGAGTGGGAAACATTCCTACACGCAACGTATTCCTACAAGCAGTGCGCCACGTCTCTCTTTTTGACACGGCGCTCCGGCGGTGGCATCACGCTGCCCAACTCTGCAGGCGCGGCGAACTCCGCCGGCTTCACGACGGCTTCCGTGACGAAGCATCTGGGTTGCTGTGCTTTTCTTTGTGTTTTATTTCTGAGGCCCGTGCTTGATGACGTGAATTTTCGTGCCATTCCGCTCAGCCAATGGGACTTTAGGTACCGTTTTTTCGCTGCTACAGACAACGCCGGCTTCGCTCCATGGGGCCAGTCTATGCTTTCGCATTATTATCTTAATTCGAGACACTAAGGGTGAAATTAGTAACACACCGCGAGGAGCCCAACTTTTTTCTTTATTTTTTACTACAGTTCTTGAGGCGAATACGAGTCTATGTACGGAAATCGCATTTCTGATTTTGTCGAAATAGTCCGAGAGGTTGGGTTTTCGCTCTGCTTCGTGTATCTTACTTCAGTATTAAGTTACTTAAAATGCTTTTTCTTTTTTTCTAAACATACTCACTGAGAGCTTCAGAAACGCAGGCGTGGCGAGTCTCGATTATCTTAAATACCGCTCCGCACGCAGCCATGGTCAAAGTGCGCCATCGGTCTATACGGAACGCAAGTTCATGTGCTTCTTGCGCAGGGTTTGCGGTGACTTCAGAACGCAGGGCTCTGATTGGCTCCGATTGGAAGTACAGTGGGTGAACCTAACGGCAGCTAGCACTGAGATCTATACCCGCGATTATTTCAAGGAGAGCCAATCAGAGATCAGTTTTCTGACGTCACTGCAATCCCTGCGCAAGAAGCAGAGGAACTTTATATTTGCGCTCCGCATCAGATCTCTGGAGCAGGAAACAAGAACTGCCAACATAATAAGGCACGCACTGCGTTTCTTAGGCTGTCGGCACGATACACGTCATCACTTTCTGATCTTATTAGGTAGAGAATCTATACTATACCCCAGAGTCCCTTTTCATTAAAAAGAAATCGACATAATAAACGTCCATGGAACATTATACTTGCTTTCAGATGTTTGAATTGGCGCCCTACCTGGCAACTCTTGGTCTTGCCTTTGCGCTTGTCTTTATAACGTTCCTGTGGTTCCGAAGAAACGCGAATCCACCTTCGCTGAAACTACCACCCGGTCCCAGGTATCTGACAATACTGGAAAAGTGGGATCTCACCAGCAACAGTGGTTTTTATCGAAAATGCTTGGAATGGAAGAAGAAGTACGGGCCCATATTCAGGTAAATTGAGCAAACAGGTGAAGAATCCCGTGAGTCAATAAAGAAAAGTGAAATTATCATAGTGGAAAATCGTCCCATTCGTTTATATTTTCGTTTGTCTGATCTGATTATTGTATAGTCTATTCAAATCGCAAAACAAATTACGAGAATCATCCGCGACAATAACACATATCTTTAAAAGCGCATCTATGCATGAACTCCTCATTTTATTTTTATTTTAAATTCCTTTTTTTTTTTTTTTGGGGGGGGGGGGGGGGGGCAGTACATATTGTCTGCTCAATCAACGCGAAATAGCAGATGGTTTGACAAGGCCGCTTTAAAACAGGAAAGTCAGTTCGTCGCTGTCGACATATCAACGAAAAGATGGACTGTGCTTCTGCAATGCTTCGCTGTAGAATACGTTAAATCTGATATAATTTTGACGTTTCTTCAATTAAAGCCCCATTCCGCTATTTAAATTGAGACAAACGTCGTTCCCTCACTCAGCCCTTGGTCGTAGCAGAACGAGTCTGCCTTGCTTCTCTTTCCCTAGCCAAACTCTGCTTTCCGGCTTCTCACTTGAAAACCACATGTTCTAGCGTCTTGCTCTCAATGTGGCAAACGGCACATATGTGTCGATCTTTTGAAATTTAGCCCTCTTTGTCCTCAACACTACTTTTCTCACCTCAAACAGTAAAGAACTTTCCCGTGAATTATCAAACACCTTCCTTTCTTATGTCCTCCCTGTGTGACCTCTATGTACATCGATACATCCTGGTTTCTTTTGCATTCTTCTTCCATGATTTAGAGCGCTTAGGCGCCCGGTTCCGCGTTTCGCGGCACTGGCGTCGGCGTCGCCGTCGGCGTAACCACCCCGCTAAATATAGCGGGAAATGGAATTGGTGTTGAGGACGCGTTACGTCAATTTTCCCGCTAAATCTAGCGAAGAAACTGAATTTGTTCATGGGTGACGTGACACGAAGTCATGCGAAGTCATTTTCTCCGCTAGATTTAGCGGGGAAACTGAATTGGTGTTGAGGTTATGGGATGTCAATTTCCTCGCTAAACTTGGCGGGGAAATTGACGTCACGTGACCTGAACAGCGAAAGAAATCTAAAAACACTCCGGTGAAGTACTACAGTATACGTGTAATGAAAAAAGCGTATACAAAATATACAGCCGTAGCAGCAAAACAGTTGTTACGACTTGCTTCGCTTTCTATTTTTTTTTTTTATTTGTTTACCTTGATTCTTTTTTTTTTAAACGCTTATTTTAAAAGATGCCTTCTGCAGCCTTACGGCCAGATGTCCCCTGCAGCGGCTAGAAGCCATCGCTACTTGGCGGCACGTGTATCTATTTGCACGCGAGGTTAAGGGGCATGACACAAAGGCACAAACCTTTTTGCCTCAGCTCGAAGTCCGCCGTACTATATTTTTCGTCCATCATGGCGTCGACCATGCATGTAGCGATCCACATATTTCTGTGTGCTACCTTTTAGAGCGCAGCTCTTAGGGGCCCGTTTCCAGCCTGAGCGGCGTCGGCGTAACCGGGGGGGGGGGGGGGGGGGGGTCACATGACCCCCCCCCCGAGGTCACGTGACCCCCAAGATCACGTGACCCCCCAAGATCACGGGACCCCCCCGAGGTCACGTCATCCCCCAGGTCACGTGACCCCCCCCCCCCCCCCCCCCGAGATCACGTGACCCCCCCCCCCCCGGGGTCACGTGACTACCCGCAGGTGACGTGACCCCCTCAGTACCCTTCCCTACTCCTCCTCAAGAGCTGCGCTCCAATTCGGCGTTACAGGGATTTGTAAACGGCTTTCATTTTTTTTTTCAATTTTTTTCCTGAAACGCACATCATGTGTCTCGGAAATACTCGCTCAAGTCCTATGAAGCGAACAATGAACGTGGCAAGCCCCTGTGCCTTCCACCCTTTAGCAGAATACACCTACACAATATCTAATCACGGTGGCGGGGAACAAGCTGATTTTTGACTGGATCAGGCTTGGCCGCTTTTATTAATAACGCTATAACTGCGATGGGAAAATTATTGAAGGGCTTCCCGCAGCTCCAATGTTTGTGTAGCATCACAATTTTTTTCGCAAATGGACGCTCGTTTCTTTTGTATTTCTTTGTTTGGTAAGAAAGCCTTATGGTTCTGAAGTAAAAGATAAACTACAGGCTTCTTTTTAATGCAGGTTAGAGTAATTGATGTCAATCTGTAAAGACGGTTGCTAACAAACGGACAAGCGTTTTGAGTAATTTGATGCCGACTGCCAGAGAGGTCATTTTTGTGTTTTGCAAAATGATTGAGTTTGTTCTGCAAAAAATTATTCAGTTAAAAAAAAATAAGCTGTATACACTGACTGGTTATATATGACGCATTGAAAACGTCGCCTTTTATTTTTCTACAATTAACGTGTCAATTTTGTGCTTACAGACTGCCGATTGGTGCGGCTGGTGTTGTCGTCCTGAACGACATGGAGTCCATCAATGAGTTTTACTGCTCTCGAGATGGCGTGCATCGCTCCCCGGAGGCGATCTTCTTTGAACTAACACGGGGAACCATGGGTACGTGCTACGTGTAGGCAGACGTCTCATTGCGATAGTGTTACATCAAGATATGCTCACAGAGCATATGATTGGAACGTGGCAGAGGATATGCAAATTATATAAGTCGCGTACTGGGTGTTCTTTATTCGCTTTTAGTGAGTCAAGAACCTAAAAAAAAAAGGAAAGTTACATTAATGTTTTTTACAGGAAAATCAAAATTAAACTTAAAATTGACTGGGCTTTTTGCTGTTTTTTTTTTTTTTTTTGGGGGGGGGGGGGGGGGGGGGGGGCGGGCGGGGAGGGGTGCATAATGTAGTTGGAGAATTTACGCTCGACCTCATTCTGGTCTAGCCGTGACGTGAAATTTGGATTAAAAAATCAGCCTGGTGGCTGTATTTTTTGTTTATAAACGGCCCACTCTGGCAAGCGCTCGGAGAAGGCCCAGCTTAGAGCACGTGACATCCAACGCAATCGTGACGTAGGTCGTCTCAAGACGAGCAAAGCTACGGCGAGGCTGACGTTGAGAGGATGGCCTAGTCGTTCCAGCCACCGAAGCGGCTGTTTTTGTACGAATTTTGAGTGACGGGTTAATCTTCTATAATCTTGTAGGGGGACAATTGCGACTACTGCGACACACAAAAGGCATTCTCGGGAAGAGGGGAGTTCCTCCTTCCCCTCTTCTCTCGTCGTGGCCGGAGGCGAGACACTCACCGTCACCAGCTGTCAAGGTTCCTAGACGGGCATTACAAGCGAGGTGTTAGCGACATCCACCAGGCGCTCTTTGCTAATCGTATAATTCGTTTTAAAATTTCTTTTCGAGACTTTTTTAACAAGATATTGGCATGTTCGATGTGATACTGCTCCTTTGAACACATATAGACCAAATAATGAGCGCTGAAAGTTCGTTGTAGTATCTCTTTAAACGTTAAACTAAGTGAAAAAAAAAAAAAAAAGAGACCGTCCGTTACGTCTATCTCTCTCATCTGCGCTTCTGTAACACTGCTGACGTCACCTGCGGCGCTGACTTGTGGTTGCGGAACCGGTGTAGGACGGAGGGATCGACGTCACCGGGGCTCTTTGCGCGCGTGGTTTTGGTTTGAAGCCACCTTTTACAGTGTTGCCGTTGGTAGCTACTTGGCGGCAAATTGGCTATTTTCGAGCATGTCTGGCGACGAAAAATGTAGGTCGACTCTCTGGCCTCCCTGGCTACTTGTTGGCACCATAGTTTTTTTTTTTTTTTTAAGCGTTTGAAAACTTGTACTTGGAAATCAAGAATCGCCCCTGCGCGCTGCCATGTTTGTCTACTGGGTTGTGAAAGGCGTTCCGAGCGTTGCGCAGTAGCTCTTTTGCACGAAATAGGTGACGCCGCGCGTGCATTCACAGTCCAGTAACGCAGCATATTTCGCCTGGTTAATAAGCGCTGGAGAAGTCTGTGTTCTGCATGGGGAAAAAAACATACTTGGTAGAGTCACCCTAGTAGAGTTTTTTTCAATACGGTACTTGTTTCTAAAAGTGAAATGCCATGCTCGTTATTTCTCTATAAAATTATTTAGGAAAGCACGTTGCAAAAGAACTGTGGAAGCTCGCCATCAACAAACGTTCAGCAGTGCGCGCGATCAATCGAAACAATCAGCAGTGTTTGTTAAGCCAAAATATATTACGCTTTTTATATTTTTAATTTCCGCTGCAAGGGAGATACGCAATCATACCACCTACGTATTGAAAACCTCCTTCTGTCAGCCAGCAGCGCGAGTATCGATGCGCCCGTGTCCCCTTATGGATTAGGGGCCCTCTAATGTTGGGGCCCCTTATTCTAAAAAGTCCTATTGGCGCAATTGACGATACTTGCAAGACCCAAACCCGAATCCTTCAAGAGGCTCAATGTGCCCATACTTATTTAAAAGAATCATACAACGTTTGACATATCCACATTTTCAATAAGAATCTAATATATACCTTATATTCGACAAGAATAGTTTCAGATACCCCAGCCTACCATTGAACCTTTTTGAAATGTGATCGTCTTAAATGTTTTGGGTTCTTTTTTTACAAATCCTAAATACAAGAATCGACTGAGGAATCGTCCATCTGCTTCAAAGAGAAATCATTGCGAATACACATTGGCGTTTTCGAAGCCCTTTATAGATGAAGACTCGGAATTTTAACATTTTCAGTACATGCGTGCGGTGTGTTGTTGGCGTATGCAACTAATAGTCACCATATGCTGATTGATGTCATTTTTGATCTCCTAGATGCAAAAAAGGGAGGGCAAACGCGTGCCCACAGTAGTAAAAAAGAATCTGTGGGGTTACAGGTTTTGAATTGCGCACAGTTTGCGAAGTGTTTTAGCGCCCATTTGGTTGACAAAAGTTTGCAACATGGATCAAAGTCCGTCACTTGAGTGATCTAATGAGAATCGACCAGATGCTTTATGTATGTTTGCAGATGCATGGGCAACATTCGGTAATCTTACTCGGGATAGACACATTTTTCCGTTGTTACAGGCATGTCAAACCTTGATGGAAAAGAGTGGACCGAGAACAGAAGCTTCAGCATGCGAGTGTTTAGAGACCTGGGCTTCGGAAAGACTTCCATGGAACAACATATTATGGTAAGTCATTGATCACATGACAGTTTTTACTAGAGAGAGAAGAGCTAGAACACTATTATGAGTGAAGCAAGAAAAACATATGCATTTTTAGGTTAAGGTTTTGAAGTGTAATGCGTCGTAGTAGTTTGCACAGTATACCGCGTGAGCCAAAGGAATCGTTGGCGGTTTGAAGGAAACGTAAAAATTGGTTTCTTGGCGTATTTAGCTCAGATACTTTAGAAAGGTGACCTTTATGGTTAACTTTGCGTATTAAAATGTCAAAGAATGAGTTAGCCTGAGTAAACAATGACAAATTAAGAAAGTGCATTTTTTACCCATGGTGGCCGTCTGCTTATGAAAGCATGACCTCCGAGAAAAATATCGAAGTCCATGACTAAAGGCGAATGATTGTCGCAACAGCCGACAGATGGCAGCATGTAATATTGAATGCAAGCTGCCCCAACCGTCACAACGGACGCCTTCTTCGATGTTTTTGAGTCAACTGGGGCGCGGGCTTTTTCGGTGTTGTAGATCATTTTGTTCTCTTTACTCATAGAAAACACTCGATAAATACCAAACAAACCAGAATATTTTTGTCGGGCTATTTCGGTTTTATATATGTACAAAATCTGAGCTGTAGTCGAAATAACTTTCTTTTTCGCTAAGTTCTTTTTTTTTTTAATTTTTAAATGTTGTCACTATTTTTTTATTAAATTGCATGGATATACTGGCAACACTCAACATGTAACGACAGATATTGTGATTTGGTCTGTGCAACTTGATTGTTCCCGACAAATTAGAAGAAGGTTTATGGTGTGGAATGAAGGCCGTTAAAACTCACTCCAGCAGAGCGAGAAAAAAAATGTGCGACTCACTGTGTTAGACTGCCTGCTCGACATGAGAGTTTTTACAACACATGACGTCACGCCCGTAGAAAGTGCAGGCAATTTGAATTTTGGTCTTGGCATCTCCTCGATTTGCAGTTTTTTCTAATGGCTATTTGGAATTTAGACATAATAAAAATAGCATGCCGGTAATAGTAAAGCACGGGTATTCCGAAGTTATTTAACATTTTCCGACATGCAATCTATTATCTCTAAACTCCAAATAGCTATTGAGAAAACGTCAAATGGAGGTTACGTCAAAACCAACATTCAAATTTTCTCGTGCTCTCAAATGGGGTGACGTCATATGTTGTATAACTTGCAAGTAAAGCATAACCTAAAAAATAAAATAGCTCACTTTTTCTTTTTTTGCCGTGAGTTTTTTTTTTCTTTTTTTTTTCTAGCATTTAATTCATTTCATCAAACTTAACCCACCGGGAAGAAGCTGTGCTGCCCCCGTATTAAAATGTTTGACGCCGCGTTGTCAGTTGTTACCAAGAGAGCCTCTCAGCCCCCCAGACGTACATGTTGAGCCATTTGTGAGACAAACTAATGACTATCAAAGATCAAAAAAAGCTGTCACAAAGGCAGTAGTACATTTTTGTTTCTTCAACGCACAGGAAGAGTTGCAGGAGCTGGTCCGCCAGATATCGGACACCACGGGGAGCCTGATCTCCGTTCTGGATTACATGATACCCAGCATGTCCAACGTCATCGCTGCCCTTTTGTTCGGAAAAAGATTCGAGCTTGGAGACGCCAAGCGAGACTACGTGGCGAAGCACCTCAGAAGACTCCTGGACGGTCTCAATGCCGGCCCGGTGGTTGAAGACAAACCGAAATGGCTCTGTAGGGTCACGACCGCGCTTCCCTTCACCAGACTAGGGCTCATGCGAAGATCTCGACTCAAGCTGCAAGAGTTCATCAAGTAAGCATCTGCGTCATACACTTTCAAAATATCTGATCGTATAAGAACTCTTATAGGGTTCTTCGCTGTGTCCATATTTTGCACTTTAAAATGTTATTTTAAGCACTCCCTAATAGGGTTTTTTAAGCTCACTTTTTGATGCGAAAGAGTTCTTTATCGCCCAGTTGCCTTTCTAGTGTGCCAAAGGGCGATGGTGTTTGAGGTAAAACCGTTCTTTATAAGCTGAAAGAGTTCTTTGGGCATCCAAAAACCTTACAAGAACGGATTTGTGTGTGTGTGTGTGTGTGTGTGTGTGTGTGTGTGTGTGTGTGTGTGTGTGTGTGTGTGTGTGTGTGTGTGTGTGTGTGTGTGTGTGTGTGTGTGTGTGTGTGTGTGTGTGTGTAATAAAAAGGGAATAAGAATGTAACCAATGTAAGAAGTACAGTGTACTCAACTGTTAAACATAACGCGGGAGCGGTGGCCGGAGAGACTGCATGCGCCATCTACCGGCTCACTCTGGAAGCTTATGCCGCTGCTGTTTACTGGAGTTACACTCCCAGCTCCGAAACAATCAACGATGCGTGACTCGGCGATAAAAAAAAAATCGCTTTTTGATTTTTTTGTTGTTGTTTAAAGAAGGTGGCCTTTATTCGAGAAACTGCAAGATCACCGAGATATGGTAGCCCGGCATGGTAAATGCGTAGATGTGACCAAACAGACTGCAAAAAAACAACAAAACAAACAAGTAAAAATTTAAAGCGTTGGTGATAAAGAAAGGAACGAGGAGGTCGTGCGATAATTGTATCGGGGAGTGGCGACAATCCCAAGAAGAGCCGGCTTATTTTCTGCCGCATCAATGATTTAATCGCTAGACAGCTCTGGTATCAGTTTCGGCCACCGCTCCCGCGTTATGTTTAACAGTTGAGCACACTGTACATTGTAGTTGAGGTATACTCTAATGCCCGTGTCCCACTAAAGCGACAGGCAGAAACAAACGACAGCGACAAGCCTCAAACCAAAGTCTTTCGCGATTTGAGAGGCTTTGTAGACTAAAGGAGGCTATGCTCAAACACGAGCATCACGCACGCGAGGGTATCTTTGGCAGTCTTGCAATCGCTCGTGCTTACTTCACGAGCACTGAACGACTAAACGCCTGCCTAAGGTACCATCGCGAGCATGCTGCATCGGTTTGAGGCTTGTCGCTGTCTTCTGTCGCTGTCTTTCTGTCGCTGTCTGTCTGTCGCTGTCTGTCGCTCTAGTGGGACACGGACATAACAAAACATGTTTTCTGAACAACAAGTGAATTTTGGAACAGTAATCGAATTGATAATAGTATCTTTAGTATTAAATAAATTTTGCGTGATTTATATGAACAACATGACTAAGCTCCCAGACCTTTATTTTTATTGTTATTAAAAATATTCTAAAACGTACTCCTCTAAAATGGGGTAATGGCTATTTTACACCTTTATTTTTTTTTGTCACATCATAATTATTTTATGTTTTGGGGTGCATTACACTTACAATAGTTTGCATGATATTTTTACTCTGTTTTATTCTGTTTGTCAGGTTAAAAAGTATTTTTGCGAAAGCTGTTTTTTTTTCAGGAAATCTAAAAAAATGCCACCTGCTGCGTTTGAAAACAAAACGAATAGTTTCTAAAGCACAGTGGTACTTAAATATAAACACCTGCACAATTACTGATAAACAGCCTTGTATTTTTACACAAAGAAAAATTACTGCGCCGCGAAGCGAGTGTACAATAACAGCCTTTTTCTGGGACCCGATGAAACACCTGGTCATTTACTTTATGTTTCCTTTATGCTTCGTTTCATCTTGTGTTGAGCCGCAGCAGAAAGCTAGGGGCTGTGGCACGGCTCTGGCAAAGCATTCTTACGCATCGCAAAGTAGTGCGTCAAAAACTTCGACAGTACAAGGCGCGTTGCCTTTGACCTTAACGTAATGTTCGTGTTTTTTTCCACTGATAGATAATTTACGTTCGAATTAAGCTCTCAAACGTGATATTTAATATATAAATATGTAGCACGTTTGGAGAGATGAGACTTCTGGTTGGCAACGCTGTCGTTCCCGTCACCTTCGTTTATTCAACATTCATGCGCCATGGCCGATGTGACGTGCTGCAAAGAAACATTTCTTCAAAATTAAATTTTTTTTGTTCAAAAGTTATTATGTACCAACTAAACATGAGTTGAATATTTATTGGAATACGTTTAATATTTATTGGAAGTAACACTTTGAACTTCAAAATGAACTTACTCTTTGTTTAACATGACACCTAAAAAATTTAAATGTTTTTTTAAAGAAAACCTGAGGTTGGGACAAATAAAGAAGCGACAGTCCCAATCTCAGGTTTTCTTTCAAAGATTTTTCTAACCAGCTCGTTTCCGTACTTCCCTTTTAGCTAAAATGCTTTCTCGCTTTCGTTCGCTGTTTTCTGTGGTTCTTCTATATTCTATCCCGCAATGGCCGCGGAATCAGCAGGCGTGTCTCCCCCAAGAGCTCTTGCTTCCTTGGCCAGCTCGCTTCCAAACAGTTTTGTGGGGAAAAAAATCCGCAAGTGGGAGAGAAGCGCGGCAATTTGTGCTCAACATGTACTACGAACTTCGCTCTGAACCTCCGAGCGAGTCATACAGAGCGATCGTTCAGAGAATGTCTGCGCTGTAGTGAATGCGGAAGAAACGTGGCACTGGCAGCATGTCTGGTGTCGCCGGCAAAAATACGTTTATTCGTCAGTGCCGCATGCTTCTGTTTGGCGTCGTAGAAAGGACAAAAACAACTTAATTCTGCCGCGCGTGCTTCGTCAGTCACTTCCCAACAGCTCTCTCTCTCTCTAGTGCAGTGTTTGTAGAGTTAGTAGTCGGCATCGGCACTTCCGAATCTGGAGGCCCCTGCAGCATTTCGCTGCGGTTAAACACAACATGAAACGAAGTATACTGGATGCATGCGGCGTGGTGGGGTTTCAAATCTTTCACTCAATACTTATCATTATAAACAAGAATCTACCTTGATGTAACAAGGCCAAAAGTATGCCTGGATGAAGAAACTTAAAAGCGAAGCCACCGCTCGTTGTCTTCCCTGATCGATCCGTGCTTCGTCTAACACCCGTGATACGACTGACATAGACCTTTCTTAAAACCCCATCAAGCAACATTGACAGTCGCCATTTTTTGGGGGCATAAAGCGTGTGATTAGAACCGAGTCTTCGACGAACGCTGACGTCACGCTCGTATCCAATACATGCTCAGAGTATTCTCCCTAGAAATGGTGAACTCGGGTAGTTGGAGCGACAGCTACCAGATGGCGCGTACTTTTGAAAAAGGGTCTATCGTAGCAAAATATATTTTGTTTCTTTGTTTGAACACAAAACGTTTCTGGAGAAAGACATGTAAATTCTGCCTCACGAGGCGCGCAGTCAACCTGTGCATCGGCGGGCAATGGAAAACACATCTACTAAAAATAAAATAAAAACATCGACAGGATACAACACCGCAATATTATTACGTCTGCAAATTAAATAAAAGTGCTCGGCATATTTCATACACTTAAATATTTTAAGCGCGTAGTTTCAATGCTATACACATCGTATCTGAATCAAAAACTGGCAAACTAAATGTCTTTCGTTGGACGTAATAAAGAAAATTTATTTTTACATCGTTATGAAGCTGTGATCTAAATCGTTATTTTGTGTTATTCTCATCATATCTGGATTATCGTTTAAAAAATAAGGTAATTACTATGCTTTTTTTTTTTTTTTCATAGGTTGTGTTTAGTCATGCCATGCTTGCTTGAACTTTCGACTGAGCGTGTGACCAAGTGTCCTCTTCAATGTGTTTTTGATTTTCCTGTTTAGGGACCAAATCAGGGAACATAGGAGCACACTACATCCAGACATCAATCGAGATTACATCGATGGCTACCTGAAAAAGATGAAGGAACGACATTGTGAACCCGTTTCTTCCTTCCAGGGTACGTTGTCACAAACTCTTGCACCGCAGGCGTGGAAAATGTGAGATATCGCGAGTGATCGACTTGCGGAAAGGCACACTAACCCTGCTGTCGCAAATACGCCGCGAGTCAGACTGACCTACCCGTTTCATAATATATACGACTTTGAACAGACTAAAAATTGTAACAAATTATTTCCTGCTTTTTAGTCATTTAATTATATTTCGTTAATTGGTCGCATATGTATGTTCGTATAGTAGCTAAAGTAGAGCGAGATAATAAACATAACACGATCTTGGGAAAACAATTGCTGGAAGTCGTGAAATCTGAGAAGATGACACAGGGCGTTTAATAGAAACCATTTTAATTAATTTAGCAGAATCTCTGGTACACAGTCAAATAGCCATAGGCTAATGGCTGAAGCATAGAAAGAGTACCGAAAGAAATGTACACACAGTTTTTTTTTTATTTTTTATTTAGTTTTGAGGGAGCACAAGGTTGCACAACGCACTCGGTTGCAGCCAAAGGCAAGTGTGTAAACCAGCCTTTGCGTGCCTGTGCAGAAAACTATTTACTGGGGAACACCGTGGAATCACTGGTGGGCGGTTCGGGCCCTTCTTCGTTCCGGGTCTTCTGGCTCTTTCACGTGTGCGCCCAGAACCCGATCACGGTGCAGTCCAGGATCCAGAAGGAAATTGACGACGTCGTCGGACATTGGAGAAGGCCCACGTGGCAGGACCGCAAGGCCATGCCCTTCACTATGGCGTGCCTGCAAGAGATCTTGCGATGGAAGTCCCTAACACCTGTTGGGAACCAGAGAGGGTGCGAATGCTCCGTTTCTACATCTCTTTTTTTTTTTTTAATTACCTATTCAGCTGGAAGAAAAAAAAAAACTTGGGGGAAGGAATATCTCCTAATGTTTCTCTGAAGATCGGGTGCTAGCAACTTTCGTCAGTTTTCGTTTTGAACAACACAATTTCTTGCTTTTGAAAAAGAAAGGAGAGGCTTGTCTCAAACTTTAAATCCTAACGCGTTTATCTCCTCACGCTGTCAAGTCAAAGCGTTTCGTAAAATTAGTGAGCATCATCACGCACTTACCAGTAAGGCCTGCGGACATGCACTCTAAGAAAAAAGGGAGCGTGAGTCGCTCCCTCAAGGGAGCAAATGCGCCGACACAACCCTTGCTCCCCTACCGTTAGTCCCTTAAAGTTGAACCCCCGGGACTAACTTTTGCACCCTCTCATTTAGGCCACTGGGACTAAATGTTGCGCCCTTACCTTATTTATTACTAAATTGCGCCCTTACACACCCAGGTGGCGCTAGTCAACGTCAAATTCAAAATTGGTAAAACGTATGTTTTACCAATTTTTTGTTTTATGCTTGATTAAAAATATATGTGACTCTGCAGCAAAACATTCATTGGGTAGTCTCCTGACACATATTAATCGACTGAAAACGAATAAAACAATATTGGGGGTGGCAGTGTCCCTTTAAGTGCGGGCCCAAGCAAACAAAAAACCCAAGAAATACAACTTTTGCCGGAAAATGATTTCAAGCATTAAACAAAACTACGCCTTTGCAGCTTGCTCCAGCGCTTTGAAGGATTATTTTTGAATATTGACCGTAATTATCAGCTCAGGAATAGGCTCTGCAGCGTTAAAATTTTACGCGCGCTTCAGAGTCAAGTGATCACTCCTAGATTCGATAATTGCCACTCTCTGTTATAGTACCGGCCCACCGGGTACTGTGCCGGCGTGTGGTCCTAAAATCTCTGCTGCGTGATCGTCCACAAAGTTTAACAACTGTCGGGTAATATCAAAAGCTGATTGACATCATATAATGCCCATCCAATTCGCATTGCTTACTTCAATGCCCAGAAAAGCATAAGAGAACACAATATCAGAGAATCTCTGGAAAGTGTTTCAAAGTTTGCAACATGCAGGATTTTTTTTTTTAAGTTCGATATAATTTTGTTGTTTGAAATAGTCCAGAATTTTTGTAGTCAAAAGAAAAAGGTACCTCCTTTGCCAAACATGCGTAGCGACGGTAGCGCTGAAAGGCCATTTAGAAATTTGAATGCATGCTGTTCTCGCACTCCCGACAATTGAATTGTAGACATTTTGACACAGTAAAGGCTAGCAACCGCTGAACTCAAATTAAAGAGGAAATGCCAAGAAAACAAATATAATAAAAATTAGTTCTTATAACGTTTTGACTAAAACCCTGAGACTGAGACTAGAAGAAACGGGCAAACAGACTGGTTGCCCACCCCTTCTCGTCCCAGTCATATTGTTCATCCATCACCAGCTCGTTTGCCCTCTAACCTTCTGTTCATTAATTAATGCTTATAAAGCATTAATGGTCTGACGTTTGTGAATATTAACAATGTTGACGTTTGTGGACACGCCAAAATAAAGATGATGATTATCAAATATTTGCGCTATATTGTCACGAGTGACAAATGATGAGGCGGCGAATAACTGAAGAAACTAAACGTTTAATGGGCGAACTTGTTCCCAAAACAAAATAGGGAAAGGCTAGCGTAGCAGGTGTCGATGTCGGCGAAGCAGCACGCTCGAGCGCTGGGGTGAGACTGATTCTGGCTCGCCACGCGGAACCCCTTTTTGTACATACACACATGGGCTTCTGGAACAATCAGCGTTTCGGCGCGTAGAACATTCTGACCTCGAACATGCAACGATGTTCTCAAATTTACCAGAACGCAACAATTAGGGAAAAATAACAAAAGGTGCTTCCGCTATAGGCATCGAACCTCGGCTCTTTGCGCGGGAGCCTAACGCGATTCGGCCGCGGGCGCGTTGTCTACTTGGCCACTTGCGCGCGCGGCATTATTTTGGCAAATATCGGAGGCAGTTAGGGGAGCACTCCGACGATACGTCGTCACGTGCCTCATTCCGACACGCTGATAGGCTCGCTGAGAGCGTAGGTTTGGCCATTTACCAAGTGACGGCGAAACGGTGTATAGACGCACACTTTATTTTAAAACTACCCAGCCAAGCTTGTGAAAAATGTTGAATAAAAATGAATGAACTATTCTCAAATCACGTGTTGTCATCGTTAATTTGAGGGGGCTTTTCCTTATAACACGCGGGAATATCGAATACTGACTCTTAGCGCTGTTCTGCTTTCTGTGTAAACTTGATTTTATGGTCGCTGCAGATATGCACAGCAGGAAAGGAAGCTGTATAACGGTAACCGCTATTGCAGCACAATTTTTCCGATAGGACATTTTTTCGACGGTGATTTTCTTCCATGTACAATAGTAAAAATTATTTACGAGGGCTGATTAAAAATGGGTGAGACTACTTCTGTCTTTTCTTTGTAAGGAGGTAAACGAGCAGAGTAGTACTGATTTTGTGAATGTGCAGTTGAATCACCATGGTCTTCAGCGTTTTATTTATTTATTTATTTATTTATTTATTTATTTATATTTAGAGCGAGCTAAGTCTCCTCATACGTGTCGCTATGGCGGATGACGAAGACGTGCTCGTGAGAGTGAGGCAGAAGGGCGAGATTGAATTTTGCATTAATATGTGAAGGCTGGTGACTACACTATAACACTTTTCATATAGTCCGGACTTATCTCCGTGTAAATTCTGGGTATTTCAACGCTCAAGAAAGAAAAGACACTGCACAAACAGTTCGCTCTTTTTGTACGATGAAGTGAACAAGGTCGCGGCTGCAACGCTGAAAGTGATGTAGCAAAATATTATTCTGCATTTCTTTGAATTGTTGTTCGAAACCGTTAATATATTGAATGGGGCAGATGCTACTTTGAAAAGGGAAAATGATCAGTCACCCAAGTCTGATTAAAAAATCGGTCCCATCGCTTTTTATTCAGCCCTGCAGGTACATTAGGAAAATCAGCCTATTTCTTTAGTGTTTCTGAAAAGTTTATTTGAAGTCATTTGATACAATACTGAAGAATAAAACAATAGGCCGATCTCACGAAGCGTTCCACGCATGCGCGACGTCGCCATAATTGTAGTTCACAAGAGGTAGGCGCCCGTGCACAAGACAGCTCATGCCGTCTCATGCTCTGCTCGTGCATGCCTCTAGCGTGTTTATCGCGTGTGCAGAAAGACTACAGTTCCCACGATGCAAGGCGACAGCAGTGGCGTACTCAAACCAGCCGGTGAGATCGGTCTATTGAATATTCTAAATAAGACAAATCTTGGGTGAACCAACGAGGAACTTTCTAAAAGTAGAATTCGCGGTGACGTCGCTCAGCACAAATTCTTTCGTTACTAATGTTGCTCCTGTGTTTATTTGCAGGGTTCTAGAAGACACTTTCATTGGCGGCTACCTCATTCCAAAAGGCTCGACCGTTTTGTTGAATTCTATGGGAGTCCACAGAAATCAGGAGCACTGGGAAAGTCCCGATGAATTTGACGCGTCAAGGTTTCTGACGAACGACGACGCCAACCTTGCGAAGAAATATGACCACTTCGTTCCATTCGGACTTGGTAGGATTGACTTGGAGCGCATTACGTTCTAGAACCTCTTCGGAGCAAGCAAAGCCGAAACTTGAATTTATTTGCGGTGCTAAGGTGTCAATATCAAACGACACTAGGATTGAGGGAAAAACATCACATACACAAGTTGACGCTTACTTCTGTATATCATATGATCTTTGCTGGTCAAAGGGTCGTCTAATATTAAAACTTTAAAGTACATTTCAATAAAAAAAAATAAACTGACTACTAGCACTACAATTCCATGCAAAGTCAGAGCCATTAAGGTCATAAAGTTGTTTTTTCTTCAAGTACTAAAAAAAAACAAGAATTTAAAACAGAGACCAAGGAGAAATAACAAGTTAAGGAGTGCATTTATTTTTCTAATTGGTAAAATCATTCTATATACATATATATATATATATTGTGGCGGTGCTGCCTGCGCTCGTGATGTCTTGCATCAATGTGCTCAGGTTCTTTTTTGCCTGCGTGTTTAGCTTGTACACCGCCAGCCGCTCTGGCAAGCACGAGAGGCTGGACTGCTTTTTGTCGTACACTGGACAGTTACATTTTGTGTATAATTTTGGGAACCAGTTGGCGATTTAGCGGAGTGGAAGGGTTTCGATCGAACAGCTATCTCCGCTTGCATGACAATTTCGCACTGCACTGCCGTTGTAACGTGTACCAACAGTTAGAGACTGCTTCTATTTATTATTTAACTACAGGTTTTCCCGCTCATTTTAATCCAAGCGACGACCAATTTAATCCCGGGGTCACTCAATTTAATCCAAGCGCCATACAATTTAATCCAAGCGCCACACAATTTAATCCCGGGGTCAGTCAATTTAATCCACAATATATATATGGACTTATTGTGTTCAGTGGTCGTGTTTTGCTTACACATTTGGTAACTTAAAATAATTGTTTATACAATTTGAATTTTTGGCGGGCAATTGAGAATTTGATCACTAATGTGATTACTTTGAGTTACTAGTCCCACTATTGACGAGGCTTAATTGATATGTCGGTTACTCTTTTTTACAGCGCAGCTCTTAGGCACCCGTTTCCGGCTTAAGCGGCGTCGCCGTCGCCGACGCCGTCGGCGTAACCACGCAGCGCATGATGGGCAAATTCCCCCTCTAAATTTAGCGGAAAATTTCCCCGCTAAATCTAGCGGAAAATTTTCCCTGCTAAATCTAGCGGAACATTTTCCCCGCTAAATTTAGCGCAAAATTTTCCCCGCGAAATCTAGCGGAAAATTCTTCCCGCTATATTTAGCGGAAAATTTTCCCACCTAGATTTATTGCAAAATTTGCCCCGCAAAGTCAAGCGGAAAAGCTTCCCCGCTAAATCTAGTGGAAAAATTTTCCCGCTAAATCTAGCGGAAAATTTTTCCCGCTATATTTAGCGAAAACTTTTTCCCGCTAAATTTAGCGGAAAATTTTTCCCGCTAAATCTAGCGGAAAATTTTACCAGCTAGATTTATTGGAAAATTTGCCCCGGAAAGTTGAGCGGAAAAGCTTCCCCGCTAAATCTAGCGGAAAAACTTTCCCGCTAAATCTAGCGGAAACTTTTTACTGCTAAATCTAGCGGAACATTTTCCCCGCTAAATTTAGCGGAAAAAGTTCCCCGCTCTATCTAGCGGAAAATATTCCCCGCTATATTTAGTGGAATATTTCCCCCGCTAAATCTAGCGGAATGTTTTTCCTGCTAAATCTAGTAGAGCATTGTCCCGCTAAATTTAGCGGACAATTTTCTCCGCTAGATCTAGCGGAAAAATTTTCCCGCTATATTTAGCGGAAAATTTCCCCCGCTATATCTAGCGGAAAATTTTCCCAGCTAGATTTATTGGAAAATTTGCCCCGCAAAGTCGAGCGGAAAATCTTCCCCGCTAATCTAGCGGAAATATTTTCCCGCTAAATCTAGCGGAAAATTTTTACTTTACTGCTAAATCTGGCGGAACATTTTTCCCGCTAAATTTAGCGGAAAATTTTCCCCGCTCTATCTAGCGGAAAATATTCCCCGCTACATTTAGTGGAATATTTCCCCCGCTAAATCTAGCGGAAAATTTTCCCAGCTAGATTTATCGAAAAATTTGCGCCGCAAAGTATAGCGGAAAAGCTTCCCCGCTAAATCTAGCGGAAAATTTTTAAGCTAAATCTAGCGGAATGTTTTTCCTGCTAAATCTAGCAGAACATTGTCCCGCTAAATTTAGCGGACAATTTTCTCTGCTATATATCTAGCGGAAAATTTTTACCGCTATATTTAGCGGAAAATTTCCCCCGCTAGATCTAGCGGAAAATCTTCCCAGCTAGATTTAGCGGAAAATTTGCCCCGCTAAGCCTAGCGGAAATTTTTCCCCGCTATATCTAGCGTAAAATTTTCTAGGCTAAATTTGGCGGAAAAATGTCCCCGCTAAATTTAGCGGAAACATTTTCCTGCTAAATTTAGCGGGAAATTTTCCTCGCTGTTTAGCGGAAAAATTTCCCCGCTAAAACTTGCGGAAAAGTTTCCCCTCTAATTAACTTTAGCAGAAAATGTTCCCCGCTAAATCTAGCGGAAAAATTTTCCCCGCTGAATTAAGCGAAAAATTTTGCCCGCTAAATCTAGTGGGGACATTTTCCGCTAGATTTAGCGGGGAAAACTTTACGCTAGATTTAGGGGGAAAAATTTTCAGCTAAATTTAGTGGGAAAACTTTTACACTAAATTTAGCGGGGAAAATTTTCCGCTAGATTTAGCGGGAAAAATTTTCCACTAGATTAAGCGGGGAAACTTTTCCGCTACACTTGGCGGGGCAACTTTTACGCTAAATCTAAAATTTTGGCTAGATTTAGCGGGGAAAACTGTACGCCAGATTTAGCGGGAAAACATTTTCCGCTAAATTTGGTAGGAAAAATTTTACACTAGATTTAGCGGGGAAAATTTTCCGCAAGACTTAGCGGGAAACATTTTCCGCTAAACCTAGCTGGTAAATTGTGCCGCTAGATGTAGCGAAGAAAAATTTCCGCTAGATTTAGAAAATGTTTCTACTAGATTAAGTGGGGAGACTTTTCCGCTAGACTTGGCGAGGCAAATTTTCCGCTAAATCTAGCTGGGAAATGTTTCCGCTAGATTTAGCGGGGGAAATTTTCCGCTAAATATAGCGGGAAAAATTTTCCGCTAGATATAGCAGAGAAAATTGTCCGCTAAATTTAGCGGGACAATGTTCTGCTTGATTTAACAGGAAAAACATTCCGCTAGATTTAGCTTAAAAATTTTCCGCTAGATTTAGCGGGGAAGCTTTTCCGCTAGACTTTGCGGCGCAAATTTTCCGATAAATCTAGCTCGGAAAATTTCCCGCTAGATTTAGCGGGGAAAACTTTCCGCTAGATTTAGCGGGAAAAAATTTTCCGCTAAATTTAATGGGAAAAATTTTGCACTAGATATAGCGGGGAAAATTTTCCGCAAGACTTAGCGGAGAAAATTTTCCGCTAAATCTAGCTGGTAAATTGTTCCGCTAGATCTAGCGGGGAAAATTTTCCGCTAGATTTAGCAGGAAAACTTTTCCACTAGATTAAGCGGGGAGACTTTTCCGCTAGACTTGGCGGGGCAAATTTTCCGCTAAATCTAGCTGGGAAATTTTTCCGCTAGATTTAGCGGGGAAAATTTTCCGCCAGATTTAGCGAGAAAAATTTTCCATTAGATTTAGCGGGGAGGCTTTTCCGCTGGATTTTGTGGGGCAAATTTTTCGCTAAATCTAGCGGGAAATTTTTCCCGCTAGATTTAGCGGGAAAATTTTCCCGCTAATTGTAGTGGAAACATTTTACACTAGATTTAGCGGGGCAAATTTTCCGCTAGACTTAGCGGGGAAAATCGTCCGCTAAATCTAGCTGGAAAATTTTTCCACTAGATTTAGCGGGGAAAATTTTCCGCTAGGTTTAGCGGGAACATTTTTCTATTAGATTTAGCGAGAAAACGTTTCCACTAGACTTTGCTGGGCAAATTTTTTGCTAAATCTAGCTGGGAAAATTTTCCGCTAGATTTAGCGGGAAAACTTTACGCTAGATTTAGCGGGAAAAAAGTTTCCGCTAAATTTAGTGGGAAAAATTTTACACTAGATTTAGCTGGGAAAATTTTCCGCAAGACCTAGCGGGGAAACTTTTCCGCTAAATCTAGCTGGTAAATTATTCCGCTAGATTTAGCGGGGAAAATTTTCCGCTAGATTTAGCGGGAAAAATTTTCCACTAGATTTAGCGAGGAAACGTTTCCGCTAGGCTTTGCGGGGCAAATTTTTCGCTAAATCTGGCTGTGCAAATTTTCCGCTAGATTTAGCGGGGAAAACATTCCGCTAGGTTTAGCGGGAAAAAAAGTTTCCTTTAAATTTGGCGGGAAAAATTTTACACTAGATTTAGCGGGGAAACTTTTTTGCTAGACTTAGAGGGGAAAATTTTCCATTAGAATCTGCGGGGCAAATTTTTCGTTAAATCTAGCTGGGAAAATTTTTCGATAGATTTAGTAGGAAAAGTTTTCCGCTAGATTTAGCGGGGAAATTTTTCTGCCAAATTTAGCGGGGGAATTTACCCATCATTCACCGCGTGGTTACGCCGACGGCGACGGCGACGCCGCTTAAGCCGGAAACGGGTGCCTAAGAGCTGCGCTCTAAAAAGAGTAACCAACATATCAATTAAGCCTCGTCAATAGTGGGACTAGTAACTCAAAGTAATCGCATTAGTGATCAAATACTCAATTGCCCCCCAAAATTCAAATTGTATAAACAATTGTTCTAAGGTACCAAATGTGTAAGCGAAACACAACCACTGAACACAATAAGTGCATATATATATATTGTGGATTAAATTGACTGACCCCGGGATTAAATTGTGTGGCGCTTGGATTAAATTGTATGGCGCTTGGATTAAATTGAGTGACCCCGGGATTAAATTGGTCGTCGCTTGGATTAAAATGAGCGGGAAAACCTGTAGTCAACCTAATGCAGTGATATTTAATAATTAAGCGGGTCATTTTAAAATAAATTTTAATATATGCAGTTTGGTTCTTATTTAC